TAGTCAGAACCTAGCACTCAGAAATAGACTTGATTTTTAGTGTTCAAAATAATGTGATACTTTAAAAGACGGACTCTAAAGCAACTGTTTAGAGTAAAATTCTAAGTTTTTAAATAAATAATTTTCTTCACTTGTTAGAAAACAAATTTTTTAAATATGTATTTTAAAACTACATTTAAAGTTATCAAATTAACAAACTTATTAAACAAGTAAATAAAAAACAATTTACCTTGTCTCTCTAATTATAAAACTGACAGGCACTCTGCATTTAAACAAATACTTTGGTAAATGGATTCTAACAATGATATCTCTCATGACTTAAAAAGGGTCATTAGTTTTAACTTAGAAGTATATTAAAATTTTATATTAAAAGCTAGGAGTAGCCTGTTATTATATGGAAAATTTGTGATCTTCATTACCCATTGGGTGGTCTACACTTTCTGAGTTTCAGAAACACTATTATAAGAATCCTTCTTCCTGCCGGGCACGGTGGCTAATGCCTGTAATCCCAGCACTTTGGGAGGCCAAGAAGGGCCGATCACAAGGTCAGGAGTTTGAGACCAGCCTGGCCGACATGGTTCAACCCCATCTCTACTAGAAAACTGCAAAAATTAGCCAGGCATGGTAGTGCATGCCTGTAATCCCAGCTACCTGGGAGGTTGAGGCAGGAGAATTGCTTGAACCCAGGAGGCAGAGTTTGTAGTGAGCCAAGATCACACCATTGCACTCCAGCCTGGGCAACAAGAGCAAAACTCCATCTCACAAAAAAAACAAAAACAAAAACAAACTTCTTCTGATTGAATAATTTAAGTTTTCTCGGTAACTAAAAAAGATTGGAATTACTGATCACTCACTTACAATGTGGTTTTAAATGTTATTTAATGAAGATATATGAAGTTTCTTTTAAACTCATTTTAACAACCTATGTTTTTGGTTTTTCACTTTTATTAGAAAATAAGTATGAAAATTTATGTTACTACAAACCTATAAATTTTATTCAAATCTAGACATAGTGCTAATCTTAAAAGATCTGTATGTTTAAGATTATAGATAACCTATTTACACTTAGAAGATAAATAATTGCTTTCCAGTAAAACCAATGGGGCAATTTTGAACCTCAGTTACAAGCTATCATAATATTAATACCATAATCTAGGTAGAAATTTTAGGTATCTGCATATTTGGGTTGTTTAGCATGTAATCAGAAACTATAATTTTTTATAAACTATAAATAATAAACTGAAAATATAAAGTATCACTTTCTTTTTCTCAGTTTTGAAATACTGCCATTATTTCTAGGTGATATAACACTCCATTACAGAGGCTGTGGCTGTTGAAACTAGAAATGTCATGGTCAATTCTTTGTTACTTGCTGCCTTTTTATTTCACACAAATACAGTAGCACAAGGAAGGCAAGAAATGCTACACCTTGATTGCAAACACATGAGTGCCCTTCTAGGGAGAATACATGTGTGAGCATATTAACTTGAAATTCACGGCATCTTTTGTTCAAGTACAGACTTTCATATGGCAAGTAAAAAAGACAATAATTTAACACTACAATGGCATAAGTAGTCTAAAAATACCTTTTGACCCATTATTTCTATTTTTCAAAAGAATAATTGTGATAGAATGAGCATTTACAGCACTGTGGTCTTGAATAACCCCCACTCTTTGGTTAATTATTTTTGAAATATGACCATAAGACTTTTGTGCCTTTTTTTTTTTAGAAAAAATGTTTTCTATTTCTTATTCAGTAATTTAGCATAATTTTTAGTCTCATGCTTTCAAAGATAGCTCATCCTAAAAAAAAGTGATTAAATAGCTTACCACTTTTTCCCCAAAAACAGTAACAAATTAAGTCTAGTCTAGTGTACAGTTAATTCATAAATAATGAAGGTGTAATTTATTTTAGCTGCACACTTGAAAGTGAAACACTTTTTGGGCTATAGACCAAAAGCTTTCAGAGAGGTTAGCTTATAAAATGTGGGAAGAACTGGTATAGAAACATTCACCCCTATGCCTTAAGGGGTGAAAAAAAATTTCACCCCTAATTTCAACTATTAACCCAGAACTGGAGAAATAGAACCTGTTATTATACCAAAAAGCATTTTATTATTTTTGTATTTAAGGGGTATATGTGCAGATTTGTAAAACAGGTATACTACATGATGTTGAGGTTGGACACTTAATTCCATTGCCCAAGTAGATTATAAATGCTTGTCTCCCCTCCTTCCTCCTTCTTTTTAGAATTCCCAGTATATGTTTTCATCTTTGTTTCCATGTGCACCCAATTTTTAGTGCCCATGTATGAGTGAGAATATGTGGCATTTGCTTTTCTGTTGTGTTAATTTGCTTAGATTAAGGGCCTTCTGCTGCATTCATGTTGCTGCAAAAGACATTACTTCATTCTCTTCTGTTGCTGCATTGTATTGGAGATTGTATAAGTACATCATTTTTCTTATCCAATAAAAGATTCATGGGTAACTGGTTTAATTTGGTCTTTAATATTGTCAATAGTACTGCAATAAACATGTGAGTGCAGGTGTCTCTCTGGCAAAATTATTTTTTCTCTTTTGGGGCACATATCCAGTAATGGGGTCAAATGGCAATTCTATTTGTAGTTCTTTGAGAAATTTCCAAACTGCTTTGCACAGGGTCTGAATTAATTTGCATTCCCACCAACAGGGTAGGAAAATTTCCTTTTCTCCACAACTTCAACATCTTATTTACTTTTAATAAGTCATTCTTAATGGTGTGAAATGATATCATGTCACTTTGATTTACATCTTTCAGATAATTAGGAATGTTGAGCAATTTTTACATGTTTATTGGCAGCTCTTATGTCTTTGAGAAATCTTCCTTTGAGAAGAGTCTATTAATATCATGTTTGCTTTTTATAAAATTTTAAATTCTGTATATTAATCCTTCATTGTCTGCTGTTTGCAAATATTTTATTTCATACTGTTTAAGCCATCTGTTCATTTTGTTGAGTTTTTTTTTTTTTTTTTTTTTTTACTGTGCTGAAGCTCTTTGGCTTAATTAGATGCCAGTTTTTAATTTTTATTTTTGTTGTACTGATGTTAGATGTTAGTCATAAATTATTTCCAGAGGCCAATATTTTCTAAGTGTTCTTCTAAGAGTTTTGTAGCTTGAAAAACTCACAGATCAAGTTTTTAATCTATGTTGAATTATGTTTTATGTAGAAAAAGGTAGGAGTCCAGTTTTCTTCCACACCACTAACAAGTTTTCCTAGTATTTTTACTGAATAAGGAGTTAATTCCTCCTTTGTTTATTTTTGTTGGCTTTGTAAAAATAAGTTAGTTGTGGCCGGGCGCGGTGGCTCAAGCCTGTAATCCCAGCACTGTGGGAGGCCGAGGCGGGTGGATCACGAGGTCAAGAGATCGAGACCATCCTGGTCAACATGGTGAAACCCCGTCTCTACTAAAACTACAAAAAATTAGCTGGGCATGGTGGTGCATGCCTGTAATCCCAGCGACTCAGGAGGCTGGGGCAGGAGAATTGCCTGAACCCAGGAGGCGGAGGTTGCGGTGAGCCGAGATCGCGCCATTGCACTCCAGCCTGGGTAACAAGAGCGAAACTCCATCTCAAAAAAAAAAAAAAAAAAAAAAAAAGTTAGTTGTAAAATTATAGCTTAATTCAGGACTCTGTCTTCCATTTATTGGTCTACATGTATATTTTTGTACCAGAACCATGTTATACTGGTTACTCTGGTGCAATCTTGGCTAACTGCAACCTCCAGCTTCCCAAATAGCTGGGATTACAGGCATGTACCACTATGCCCAGCTAATTTTTTTGTATTTCGTAGAGAGGGAGGTTTCACCATGTTGGCCTGGGTGGTCTCAAACCCCTCACCACAGATGATCCATCCGCCTTGGCCTCCTAAAGTGCTGGGATAACAGGCGTGAGTCAGCATGCCCAGCCCAGATTTATTCTCTTAGTCTGAAGTTGTCTTGACTATTTGGGCTCTTTAATTCTTTTATATCTATTTTATAATCATTTTCTTGTTCTAATTCTATAAAACGTTAAGGAAAGTTTGATAAAAATAGCAGTTAATCTGTAGGTTGCTTTAGGCAGAATAGCCATTTCAATTATATTATTTGAATTCATGAGCATGCCATATTTTTTCATTTATTTGCATTGCCTCTCATTTCTTTCAGCAATGTTTTGTAGCTCTCTGTGTAGACATATTTTGTCCCCTTGATTTAATGCATTTCTAGATGTATTTTTTTGTTTGTGGCTATTGTAAATAGAACTGGTTTTTTTGTTTGTTTGTTTTACTTTTTTCTCAGCTTAATATTATTGGTGTACAGAAATGCTATGCATTTGTGTTGATTTTGTATTCTGAGGTTTTTTTTGAAAATTTTTTTAGGCTTAGGAGTCTTTTGGTGAAAATTAAAGTTTCTCGTTTAATCTTGGGAAGTTGTGTGTATCCAAGAGTTTATCTATGTTCTCCAAATTTTCTATTTTGCTTGCATTTTCACAGAAGTCTCTGAGGAATTTTTAAAATCTATGTAGAATTAGATGTGATTTCACACCTCTAACATTTAAATAAATGCAGAATAAAAGTTTAACAAAATTCAAAATTTCTTCGTAATAAATTCCTGAAAAAAGTGGTTATAGGATAAACAAACCTCAAGCCAATGAATGCCACATATAACAACAACAAAAAAGCACGGCAAATAACATACTAAACAGAAAAAACTTGTAAGCTTTTACTCTAAAAGCAAGAAGACAAATAATGCCCACTTTCTTCAGTCTTATTAAACATAGCACTAAATATCCAAGACAGAGAAATTAGAAAATAAAATCAAGAGTGAGGAGGTGGTTCTTGCCCGTGGTGTGTGTGTGTGTGTGTGTGTGTGTGTGTGTGTGTGTGTGTGTGAGACAGAGAGTAAGTGAGTGAGTGTGTGTGGGGGGGACTCGGCTTGTTCTTGTCGGTGACTTCCCCCTCCCCTCCATCCCTTCTCCTCCAGCGGCCACTACCTGGGCTGTAGGAAATGAGCAATAACGATGACATCGAGGTGGAGAGCGACGAAGAGCAACCGAGGTTTCAATCTGCGGCTGACAAACGGGCTCATCATAATGCATGGGAACGAAAACGTAGGGACCACATCAAAGGCTTTCACCGTTGGCGGGACTCAGTCCCATCACTCAAAGGAGAGACGGCATCCCAGGCCCAAATCCTAGACAAAGCCAGAGTATATCCAGCATATGCGAAGGAAAAACCACACACACCAGCAAGATATTGACGACCTCAAGCGGCAGAATGCTCTTCTGGAGCAGCAAGTCCGTGCACTGGAGAAGGCGAGGTCAAGTGCCCAACTGCAGACCAACTACCGCTCCTCAGACAACAGCCTCTACACCAACGCCAAGGGCAGCACCATCTCTGCCTTTGATGGTTGAGGGAGTCTGATGATGGGAGGATGATGGGAGTTGGAGTCTGAGCCCGAAGAGCCCCAAAGCAGGAAGAAGCTCCGGATGGAGGCCAGCTAAGCCCCTCGGGGCAGGCCAGCAATAAAAACTGTCTCCATCGTCTCATCCTTTCAATTCATCTGTAGAACCCTCAGAACCATTTAAGAGACTCTATTTTTCTCTTTCTCCCTTTTTTATTTTTATTTTTACATAGAAGCTCTTGGACAACAGCTCTAGTTCTCCTTCCCCATTTCCACTGTTTATTTTTTTAAATGTATTCCCTTCAGGGATTCCCTGTCCCCACCAGGAATTTTTAAACCAAAACACCCCAACTTGGCAGCTTTTTCTGTGGAGGACAGACGGCCGGCCGGACCTCTGAGCCCATAGTATCCTGCCCACCCTACCAGCTCCTCCAGCCCTGCTGGGCACATACCCCGAGGATGCCTGGCCTGCCCAGGTGGCCTCCTGGTCTACCCTCACCTCTGTAGGATAGACTGTGAATCTGTGAACTGCTCTACTTTGAGAAGATGACCAGTTTCGAGTAATCAGAATTAACCCTCCTCCTTAAGGTTGTTTTTTTTTTTTCCTTTTTCTAAAAAGCTATGTATTGCTCCTATTGAAAGACCAGATCCTTAAAGAAGTTTGTGGTATGAAAAGAAAGTGGGGACAGATTCGCAGCACAGTCTTCGGCATGTTTCACTCCTGCCACTCTCAGCCAGCTGTTTAGGCCTGCGGTGCCAGCCTCACGGAGAGCTGCGTGGATTCTTGTGGTATGCTTGGGAGATGGCAGCAGTGAAGCAGCAGCCACCAGGGAGTGGCTGTTTGGGGTTGGGACAGGATGTTTTGGGTGGCATAGAGGTTTTGTATTGAGGGCCAGTGATGATGATTTGATATTTCCTGCTACTTAAATTTGAATCTGAGTGAATTGTTCCTATTTCTGATGATGTCGGTCTTGCAAAGCGACAGATTCATAAAGTAATGATGAAATCTTCCCTTCTTCCCGTGTGTATTTCTAAGAAATAGAGCCAACTGATTTTGTATGTAAATACCGAGAGCAATTTACCTGGTATTAAACCCGCACCCCAATGCGGACCCTTCCCTGCCCTCACCCCACTTCCTTTCCTGCAGTCCTGAAACCTGTCTCCTTTGTGTGATCCAGCCCTGGTTCTGGCTGTGGTCAACAGATCCCAGTGAAGGGTTTTGTGTGTTTAGGCCTCATTTCTTTGTCTTTTTCCTACTCCGTTCCTGGCATTTGCTGATTTCTAGTGTATACTCTGTAGTCTCAGTTCGTGTTTGATTCCATTCCATGGAAATAAAAAGTATGTTGTACATACTGCTGAAGAATTGTCTTGCAATTTAAGGCTTCCCCCTTTACTATAAGACTATAAATAAAAACTTATTTTATCCTTAAAAAAAAAAAAAAGAAAAGAAAATCAAAGCACCCAGATTAGAAAAAATGTTAAATTATTCCTGTATATATTTTTCAATCCTATGCATAATCTTAAGCAAAGGCCTAAGACATTACTAAAAATTTTTATGACTAATAAACAAGTTTATTAAACTTGCAGAATACAAAAGCAACATCCAAGTGTCAGCAGCATTTCTATATACTGACAACTATCTCAAAATGAAATCAAAGAAATTAATACACAATTGGAAAAATATTACTCCTTTATAAATTGGAATTAATAATATTGTAAAATATCTGTATTACACAAAATAATGTATAGATATAATGCAAGTTCTATCAAAATACCAGTTACATAACTAACAAAATTTTTAAAAATACATCTAAAATTTTTATATGGTACCACAAAAGATCCTCAATATCCAAAGCAATCAAGCAGTAGAAAAAGTGAAGGTATCACTCTACCTGACTTTGAAAGATATTACAAAGCTATAGAAAAAAAAAAAAAGTATGGTACTTCAATAAAAACAGACATACAGGACAATACAGAAGAAAAAGGAGACCAGAAATATATTAATGCATTCACAGCCAACTGATTTTAAACAAAGGTGGCAGTTTCTTAGGGAAATGGCAGTATCTTCAATAAATGGTGTTAAGAAAATTTCATATCCACATTCAGAGGAATATAATGAGACCCTCCACTCACATCATATATAACACAAACTAAATTAGATACTTAAATGTAAGGTCTAAAACTCTGAAACTACTACCAAAAAATATAGACTGAAAGCCCTGTAACATTTGTTAGGCAGTGACTTTTAAAATCTGAACTCGAATCCCAAGGAAAAAAAAATTTTTTTTTTAAAAAGATGAATCAGATTTGAAGATATAGTTGTTGTTTTTTGCTATTTTCTCATTTGTCAGTCATAACCATAGAAACTTTGATGTTTAACAGCATGTTCTGAACCCATCACAGTGCATTGGAGACTTTAGGGCTTTTCTTTCAAGCTTGAGGCACCTGGAGTTACTGGTGCTTATGGTAATAGTATGAAAGACACTAAAAGGGCAGCCTTGCTTATGCTCCCATGACTGGCCACTGTGTGAACATAGTAAACTGGTTTGCATGCAAACTAACAGGACATGTTTTAATCTAAAAGCTCCCATTATCTCCAAAAGTTTTCAGAGAAAATGGACAAGGAGATCACTACAGTTAGGTGACTAAGAATATAAACTGTAGATTAAAATTAAACCGTTAAAAAATTTATAAACAATAAGAGTAACAAAATTCTCCAAATTGTAATATTAATATGGAAAATAAATATTCCAAATTCACAGAGGTCATTTTAATGTTCTGCAAACTTTAACATTCACACTTTAAAATAGAGGATTCTGCATGAAAATCCACATTGTGCTATAAGTATATAATAAATAACTATATTTAAAATTGCTCACTTACTATTAATTCTCTTAAACATTTAATTTTTATAATATATGTATGTTCTAGCAAATTTATGTTTGCCACACTTTGTATAAGAATCTAATATTTTTCTCTTACAAAGAAACACCAGGCTGATTTAATCCTCTCTTCTGTACACAGCGTATGTCTTTTATGTTAATTAACCAATCTTAAAGTTGTATTGGTGAGCAAACTTTCCAGTTAAAACCAATTTTTCAGGGGCCGGGCGCGGTGGCTCAAGCCTATAATCCCAGCACTTTGGGAGGCCGAGGCGGGTGGATCACGAGGTCAAGAGATCGAGACCATCCTGGTCAACATGGTGAAACCCCATCTCTACTAAAAATACAAAAAAAAATTAGCTGGGCATGGTGGTGCGTGCCTGTAATCCCAGCTACTCAGGAGGCTGAGGCAGGAGAATTGCCTGAACCTGGGAGGCGGAGGTTGCGGTGAGCCGAGATCGCACCATTGCACTCCAGCCTGGGTAACATTAGTGAAACTCCGTCTCAAAAAAAAAAAAAAAAAAAGACATGAATGAAGTAGTTCTCTTTAAATTCAGCAAGATTCAGCTTTGCAGCCTGGAAACAATGTCCTCTTCACATGAAGAATCAATGTTATTTCTTCACAATTGATATTTTCCATCTCTGACTTGAAGTTAAAAACTAACTTTAGCAGTGATATTTATGACTAACTATGGAGCATCCTGTTACACCCTGAGCACTGTCATGTCTGTTTGCTACATTTATATATAAAACCATCCTGATGACTTATAAAGCTTCCCTAGTACTTACTGAAACAAACTGATTCAATAAATTAAATTTACTTATATCAATTATAAAAAATCAAGGGAACAATAACTAAAGAAAAATAAGCTCATATAGGGTTCTCCCATTACAAGAACCTAATGGAATCTTTTAACTAAATAAAATATAACAACAAACAAATTATTGAATTATATCTAAAAATAATTTTGTGTGCATGATGAAATTTTATAAAAAATATTCTAACTACAAATTAGCTATGATAATAAATACTTCATAAACTACAAAACAAACAAATAAGAAACAAAAAGATTATTGGTCTAGCATGAGTACCAGGCAAGTAAAAACAGAAACTTTGCATGCAAAGATTCTAAAAGATAAGCTATAAGATAGTGTCATAAATTGAATACAAAGCAAAGAATATATATTTGCTTTTGCCATTTTTGAGGATTTTTGTTTTCTAGTAAATTAGACAACTTATAAAAATAATTTGTTTTTTCTTAATATTACTCTTTTCTTCTGAAAATAGCTGCAAACTTATACTAACATAAACACACTTACTCCTTAAATCTAAGTTATATGATTAGACTAATAGATGTGTATATTTAATCTATTTAAGTCAAAACTAAAACTCCAAATGTTCTTGAAGGCAGAGGCCACATGCTTCAAAAAATACATAATAAAATTTTGAAAATATTTAGACGCCGGGCGCGGTGGCTCAAGCCTGTAATCCCAGCACTTTGGGAGGCTGAGGCGGGTGGATCACGAGGTCAAAAGATCGAGACCACCCTGGTCAACATGGTGAAACCCCGTCTCTACTAAAAAAAATACAAAAAATGAGCTGGGCATGGTGGCGCGTGCCTGTAATCCCAGCTACTCAGGAGGCTGAGGCAGGAGAACTGCCTGAACCCAGGAGGCGGAGGTTGCGGTGAGCCGAGATCGCGCCATTGCACTCCAGCCTGGGTAACAAGAGCAAAACTCCGTCTCAAAAAAAAAGAAAATATTTAGGACTCAGAAATATATTTGTTTTCACCCATATATAAATTTTATGATGACTATAAAAATGACTATGTAGTCAATAACAATTTAACTGTACAACTTGGAATAAGTTGTATAGACTGTAGAACTGAATTGTTTTTAATACAAAACATAAAAGACAGAGGTTATAGCTACCTTATTTACCATAATGTGATTATTATATATTGTATAACTGTATCGAAATATGCCATATATGGCATAAATGTATACACATATACAGACAAAAACTAAGAAAGATAAATTAAAATATAAAAAGTATTATAACTTACAGAAACCATATTCTTTATTTGCAGTTTAAATCTACCGGAAAAGAAGTACACTAGAGATATCAGTCTAGTATGTTGCCAAATAGTGTACTGTTACCATCTTTTAAATACACCCTTGAGTAAGGTATAATAGGTTAAAAATAGTGGCACAATAACACTTTATTGAATGTATAACAGTATCTAATGTTATAAATGTTGAATTAAAAAATTAACACAATCTAAAATGCTTTCAAAATGTAGTTTTATCACATGAAATTACAATTAGTAAAATGATATACTAATTTAATTTTGATTTAATTTTAATTTAATACAAATTATTTAATTTAAAATAATTAAGAATGATTTTTCTCTCATAATAGGATTAGAATATTACTTGGGGCTGGGCACAGTGGCTCACACCTGTAATCCCAGCACTTTGGGAGGCTAAGGTGAGCAGGCCACTTGAGGTCAGGAGTTCACGAACAGCTTCCCAACATGGTAAAACCTCATTTTACTAAAATACAAAAATTAGTCAGAAGTAATAGTGGGCACCTGTAATCTCAATCCCTTGGGAGGCTGAGATAGGAGAATCGTTGAATCTGGGAGGAAGCGCTTGCAGTGAGCTGCTGTGCCACTGCACTCCAGCCTGGGAAACAGAGTGAGATTTCCTCTCAAAAAAAAAAGAAAAAAACAGAATATTATTCAGAATGCCTACCTCATGCATCACTCAATTCTATAAGTTAACCACAAAGAGCCTTACTACTTAGATTTTCACCATGCATCTTACATTTTAATGTCCTTATTTGTCCATAAGAAAGATCATAATGACCACCTAATAAAAAAGCCTCCTAAATCTTTGATGCAGAATTGATAGCATGCTTTTGAATACAATAGAAATGAAAAATAACACAAAGTAATTTAAGAGTTGAATTTCATCATTATTCAGTTTCCAAATAATCTGGGTTTTGTTTGTTTGTTTTTTAAGACAGAGTCTTGCTCTGTCACCCAAACTGTAGTGCAGTGGCAAAACCTCGGCTGACTGAAACCACTGCCTCCCAGGTTTAAGTGATTCTCATGCCTCAGCCTCCCAAGTAGCTGGAATTACAAGTGTGCATCACAATGCCTGGCTAATTTTTGTATTCATTTTTAGTAGAGATGGGGTTTCACCATGTTGGCCAAGCTGGTCTTGAACTCCTGACCTCAGGTGATCTGCCCACTTTGGCATCTCCAAGTGTTAGCCTTAGAGATGTGAGCCACTGTGTCTGGCCAAAAAAATCTATATTTTCAAGATAAAAGTATGCTTTAAATGTAATTATAACTCTTCAAAGATCTACTTCTTTTAAAGTTATATACAAATAATTTTTTTACCAAATTCAGTTTTCGTTTTTTTCCCATACTCGGCAGTCAGATTTAGTGTAATGTCTAAATTTTGAGAAACAGATATTTCTACTGTGAAATTCTGATATTTACATAAACTTGTTTTGGATTAATTTTTTAAAATACAGTATCTGCAAAAAT